TAAAATACCTTTCCGCTGTGGTTTGGAAATTAAAAAAAAATAATATTTGGGTCATGTTAACCTAGTGTATACAACTTGCGCTGAGAATTTCAGTATAGCTCATCTACATCTGCTGAGCCCCATAAATATCCGTGTATTTGTTCCTGTTCGGTTTTGCGGAGCTCCTGCCTGCCTGAAGGCAGAGCTGCCCAAACATGGGTTTGACTAGAGATGGAGTCCTGGGGGCTGAGCACCTGGTGCGAGAGCGTTGAGGAGGGAGAGCCGAGCCACCGTCTGCTGCAGCCACCCGCCTCCGGCCAGAGTGCAGGGGAATGCGGCTGGTGCTTTTGGGAAGCTGCATGGATGGACTTTCCATCATGTTGCTCCTGATGGAGGCTGCCCAAAATATCAGTCTCAGTTACTAGGAGGTGGCTCGAGGTTTTGGAAGCCAGATGTGGGGGTCAGTTCTTTATGTACAGCACCCGACTGCATCCCACCAGCGGTACTTGCTCAGGGGGGTGGATGTGGTTGCACGATTTGCTCTTCAGAGCCGTTCCTTACCCTGCTTCAAGGTTTCCACAAAGACCAAGAAAAGCCTGCAGAGGAGGCAGAGGAGCCACAGTGACGTGAAGAAATGTTTCCCACATTACCCACGTGTTACTGGTCCCCATCCTCTTGTGCAGCAATACCAGTGCAGCAACCTCAGATGGCTTCTGGTTCTGCTGGTCCAGGGCTAGGTTCTAGAGATGGCTTCTCTGGTGTGAAGGCTGCCTCCCCGGCAGGATTGTGCTAATGCTCCGTGAAAAGCAAGTAAGTACGGTGCCTGGGAAGAATAAGCTAATTTTTCCAAATGGCACAACTCTGCGAATGACAACTGTGACTTCTGCCTGGGCTGCAGTGTGAAATCTGGGGGATGGCTGTGAGCAGCAACTGCCAGAGGGAGCAGAGCTGAGCTCTCGAGTTCCCGGCTAGTGTTGTAGCCACAGGGTCCTCTTCTCTCCCTCCTCCTCCTGATGAGTGTTGGAGGCTTCTTGATGACACAGTTATGAGAAAGGAAGGAGTTATGCGATTTAAATTTCCACCTGTGGTCTGCCCATTTCTGAACTTCAGGTATTTTGATGCAATCAGCTTGAAGGTTGACTCTAGCTTCTGTGGTTTGCTGGAGGACCCAAGACTAGGGGTCTCCAGAGCCAGCCCAGTGGTGGATTGGAGCGGCAAGACAGGCTAGTAGTTTCTTCTGATGGGTGACTTGTGGTCAGCTGGATTAAAAATGCCCGGTTGAAAGACTCCGGCTTACAGAATTGGAAGAGTTTGCAAAGCTCCTTTTGGTTGACTAGGTTTAGACATGAAAGAATTTTCCATCTTCGTTAATGATACTTCTGTTGAGGTCTTAATGGTCTTGTTTTAATAGCAGTCTCCTGTGCTGGAGCTGCTGCTAAAGGGTTGATCCTTCGCAGCCATTTCAGAGCCCAGGGATGTTTTGTGGATTTGTGCTCATCCCAGCCTGCAGGGTTGATCAGCTCCAAAGAGAAAAGTGTTGCCCAGCCGATGAGTTTAGAAGTGCCACTGGTGTGGAGCTCACAAATTCCCAGCAGACATTTCTAGGGTCTGTTTTAATTTAAATCAGAGCCACAATGTCCTGCGGTGCTAATACAAGGTCCTTGCTCTGGTGTTTTGTCCCCATTTGATGGTTAAGTGGGTAAGGAGATGTGCTCATCGTGCCCTGTGTGCCTGTGAACATTCCTGGCACCTTTCTGTGCTCTTTCTGGGGCAGGTATGAACACTCAGCTCCTTTTGTAACCTGAATCAAAGAGGCATCCACTGGGAAGCATCCGTGGTTAAAGTAGGGGAGGCTGTTCTGGGGCAGGGAGGAGGCGACGTCGTTCCTGGGACGGAGCTAGGCTCTGATGGGGCATAATGAGTCTGTAGTTACAAAGGTGGTATTTAATTATTTCTTTTCCATGGCTTTCAAGCCCTGGCACTGTCACTTTACTGGCAGCAAATCAAACACCGAGTTAGCTTATGTTAAGGAACAGAAGATGAAGTCCTAGATAAGCACTCGGCTGTAGGAATGTCTTAAATTGAAACGTGCAGGGGGGACACGGAGGAGAGCATGTTTTTGCTTTCAGCACTATCCAGACCCTGTGTCTGCGGCCAGGGTTGTCTTTCTCTCTGCTGGAGTGCCGGTATCGCCTGCCCCACGTGCTTCTAGGATGTGAGATGAACGGAGAGGAGAGTACAGTGTCAGCTGTCCTTCTCCAGGGTGACCTGTAGCCTCTCGGTGACTGTAGTGTCAGGGTTTTGTGTGGACCGGGAGACAGTGCTTCAATGGATGATGGAGTAAATACACCATAACCTGCCTTTTAACCACCACTCTCCTGGAACAGTCGTACCCATCACTGCTGAGCTGGCATGCTCAGCACCCATGGGTGCTGAGGTGCAGACCTGGCCTCAGAGCAGGGTGCAGTGTGGTAGCTGCAGGCTGACCTCCCGTTAGTGTAAATATTCCCAAATAATGCCTCTGTTCCTGCCAGGTCCCCCCTCTCCATGTTTAATTTCTGACGAAGCTTTTGATAAATGTTTTGTATAGAGTTCCTAGTTTATCTTAAATAGACCTGCTGTCACCACGGCTAAAATCTAAACCAACACTTGACTTTGGGCTCAAGTGCAAGATGAACTTGGCGGTGGCCGACTTGCTGAATGGTCGCATTCGATGTGCAGACCCCAGCTACGAGTTGTGAGGACTGGCTCCCACAGAGGTTGGGGGACCACGGCTTTTAGGACACCTGAGAGCAGCCTGGGAAGTATTTGGGCAATTTTCCTCTCTCAGGAGGGCTGGATTCAGACCACAGTTGATATATTTTCAGACTTAAACCTGTCCGAAACAGGTCATTTGATTAAATGACTTCCTCCAGCCTTACACCAGTTAGCCTCAAGTGGGGTCTGGCCCATGATCCTACTGAAGTAAGTGTTTCAAGGCAGTGTTTATGGCTAGTAATTTGTCTTGGAGGGTTTTATATATATGTGTGTATGTGCCTACGGGTGTACATGTGCGTATATACATACATTCTTGCTCAGGAACGTGGTTTCCAATCCTTTTAACTTGTTCAAAAAGTAAACTAGGGAGAAACTGGCAGTGAGTCGCAGCCGCCTGCCAAGCATCGCAGACCAGAGAAGTGGTAAAACATAAACACTTTGGAGTTTTATCCTCAGGATTTATATAGTTTGGCTGCTGGGGGATGGACTTGCGGGGAGGCTGGGGGTGAGGGGGCTCGTCAGCCCCTGGCCGTGCTGCTCCTGCGGCGCTGAGCCCGACACCTCTGCAGCCGTGCTTCCACTCCCGGCAGCGTGCGAGCGAGAGGGTAGTGCAGGGTTGTCCATCCCTCCCCGCTGGCCACGTGGGGTAGGTTTCAGGCGATGGCAGCTGAACAGGTCTGCTTTCCCCCTCCCCTACACTAAAGTGAAAGCAGACCTCCTTGACGCTTAATCAGATTTGAATGTGGTTTTTGGCGTGGCTTTAAAGAGACTGGCAGTGAATAGCTGGTTTTGATGCCATTTATTAAAAACCTCTGGTAGAATTTGTCTCGGAAAGCCTTTGTGAGAGCTGGCAAACGCACAAGGGTTTGATGCAGTTAATGTATTTTAATCTTCAGCCCCCCCACCCCTTCTCCTTTTCTGTCGCTAATTGTAGGGCTCTCAGCTGTCTGCCACCCTCTCCGGGGAGATGGCAGGCTCCGCAGGGACCTCTGTACAAACACGGGTTTAATAAGGTTGCAGTGGCACGGAGAAAAGTGAGCATCCTCCTCAGGGAGGAGAGCTGGGGCTGGGTGGTGTGGGGTGCCAGGTCCCAGGTCCCACGCCAGGCTCTGACACGGGGGCACTGGGTGGCCCCGGCCACATTAATCAACCTCCTGGTGTGGCCTCATTCTCCTCGAAGCAACGAGGCAGACGGATGGGGGAAACAAAGATGTCGCTTTTCTAGGTGGCTGGCAAGTGAAAAGTGTTGATTGATGTTGGCAGCCAGCTCCTGGGAAAGGCTCCCTGGGCTTTCAGAATGAGATTGATGGGCACCTAGTCTTTTCTCGCTGATTTTATCCCTTGCTTGCTTGTGCATCCACCTTCCTTGGACCCAGAGGACTGTTTGAGCCCGTTTCTTGCTCTTCACCCTCGTTTGGGACTTGTTGGGATTTATTTTTTTTTTCCATGGTTTGTGCCCGAAGGCGCTGCAGCCCCTCACAGCAGAGGGGTGGGTGTAGGGAGCACCGTAACATTTGTGTGAGCAATTTGGGTTGTCCCTGCAGCCCGATGCACAGATCGTGCCGATGAGCGGCTGGCTCCCCGGCAGCAGCATTTCGGGGAAAGCTCAAGAGCTTGTAGGGAGGCAGCAATTATTGTGGAGCTCAAGGAATAAACAGTTTTCCCCCAAGCCCACAGTTCAGGCTGTGCATTGCTCCCATACCTGCTCCTTATTCTGGCTGCGTGGAAGAGCTCGGAGCTGTGGCCGTGCCCTGGAGTGCTGCACCTGGTTGAGGGACTGAAGTTGGGGATGCGTTGCATTTAATTTGTGGGCTTGGTTTTTGGGTTTTTTTTTTTTTTTTTTGTCTGCCTCATCAAAGAAAAGAGAACCTGGCCTTTTTCTGCCATCCCTCGCTCACATGAGTTGCAAATTCAGCAAGAGGGAGGCGTGGATGAAGATGACTCCCGGGAGAGAAACAGTCTGAGAGACTCTTAAACAAATGGGAACTGAGCAGCTTTGCTCTTCCCCTGAGGGTTCGGCTGTTAAATAAACTCACCAATGAGTCTGGCTGCACGTGTGTGTTGGTGCAGAAGTGTGTTCATATGCGGGCTGGGTGTTGCTGGCTGTAAGCCACCAGGATAGTGTGTGTTGGGTGGTGAGCTCCTTGATAAAACGATGCATGAGCAGCCCTTGCAGGCCTTGTCCTCCTTCCAGAGTTTGCATGGGTGGTCGTGGTCAGAGGGAAGCTAACGTGGCTTTTCCCTCTTCTCCTTTCCCTCTCCAGGGTTCCACCTCAGCGGGACGGTAACGGAGCCGGCGACTGCAACAGAACCAGAGATGACCTACAAGGTGGCCATCAGCTTCGACCGCTGCAAAATCACCTCAGTGACATGCGGCTGTGGGAACAAGGACATTTTTTACTGCGCCCACGTTGTGGCGCTTTCGCTGTACAGGATCCGCAAGCCGGACCAGGTCAAACTCCGTCTTCCCATCTCAGAGACCCTTTTCCAGATGAACAGGGACCAGCTCCAGAAGTTTGTTCAGTATTTGATCACGGCACACCACACCGAGGTGCTGCCCACTGCCCAGAAGTTGGCTGATGAGATCCTGTCCTCCAACTCGGAGATCAACCAAGTGCATGGTAAGTCCTCCCTTCTTCCTGGGTGGCTCGGCACCAATTCACTGTCTGTTTGGGGATGGGCTGGTGGTTCCATATGGACAGTGTTGACCTTCATTTTGCTGTGTTTTGTCTGTTGCTGCATAGAGAGAGGTAGCAGTGTCAAACTGGTGTTAATGCATGGCTGTTGGGACCACATCAATGCTGGCCACGCGTCCCCATTCTGCCCTCTGTTCTTCTTTATGTGTTTGTCTGTCAAACACTGGCTTCAAGAGGCAAGAAAAGGCAGAGCAGACAGGCTGGTGGTGCATGAGGCACAGCTCAGAGTAGGATGGAGAAGCCAAGGGTGGAGGAAGGGAGCACGTTTAGTCCCCAGCACAGAAGGATGTGGTGCTGGGACCCTGGGGAGTGGGAAGCGCAGTGGGGACGTGGCTCCTCCAGTGTGTGGGGACACGGTGTCAGACCAGCCTTGCACATTGCTAAGTCAGATGTGGCTGAGCCGGCGGGAGATAAAGCTTTAATCTCTATGGGCGTTAATTTGCCCATAATAAATGAGTGCCACTGTCCTGACCTACTGCACAAAGGCAGCAGAGATGAGTCCTGGGGCTTTGTGTTTGGAGGATGCTTTTGACTTCCTCCCCTGGAAAGCACCGGTTGTGGGACGGTGCCCATCCCAGCCCCGCTGCAGTTGTCTAGTGGCCCAGGAGGTGGCCCAGGCACCCTGGGGAGTTGCTCTGAGGCTCCCTTCATCAGCTCAAGCCGGACACTCCTGCTGTGTCTTTCCAAGGAGCCCAGGAGCTGAGGTTGCGCAGGGTCTGCAACAATGAGCCGCTCCCCACCGCGCCTGTCCCACCAGCTGTAGAGCGGAGATAATAAACACTTATCTGCCACGGAAGGGCGTTGCGGGGATTAACACATGCCTGTTAACTGCTCCGAAGATGAAAAGCCCCATATGCAGCCTAAAATAGGATCTGAACTGGTTGAATCCACATGTAGAGGTGAGGCCAGGGGTCCACCTCCACCGCAGGGGTGATGGCAGCTCTGATCTTAAATATTTTCCCCTCCCTCTATCTGGTTGGTCCTGCTCCTGCGTTGTGAGAGGCTTTTGTCTCCTCTGCTGGGCCACATCTGCTGCATGTGTGGTTGTGCTCTAAATTACTGCCTTTTGGGGAGGGTTCCTCATTTTTTGGCATTAAAAAAGAATGAGGAGCTGTGGTACTGCAAGAATCTGGTGAGGTCCGTTCCCTCCCTGAGCTGATCCACTGAAGCCGAGGTTGGGCAAGATCCCTTGTTGGCCATTGTTTGAGGCTCCTTTCTCCTAAGAAGATTGAAGAAAAGCTTTTAAGGCTCTGAATATTTATTGCTGTAGAGTCAGCAAAAGGCTGGTGATTGAGAATCTTACAAAGATACAGATGTTGGCTCCATTTCAGTATCTGCCTCTTGTTTTTACAAGTGGTTATAAAAAAAAAAAAAAGCAAAAATTCTCTGTCCCTTCAGACTCGTGCAAATTCACACACTCCAGCGTATGATTCTGAACTGACAGAGACACATTGACTTACTCAGCAGGAGGTGACACCTATCTGACACCCGCGTGGCTGCCTAGCCGTGGACACAAGCAAGTGAACTCCTCTGCAAGCAGAACTGCCTCGTCTTGTCCTTGGGGAGGGTGCAGATCAGCCTTAGGATGATGAGATGAGCTAAAGATGATCTGAGATGATCTAAAACTCATAGATGTCGCACGCTGTGGAAAGGAAGGCTCAAAAAAAAATCCACATTCACGTTCAGAGTGGTCATCCAGGGCTTTGGCGCTTGATCCTGGACAGCGTTGCAAGCTTTGCCCTCCCTGTCCTTCCAGTGAAGCATAGCCATACTGCAACTGCATCGCAGAGCTACTTCAGTAACAAGCCCAGGGCAGGGCAGGGCTTCAGACATGTGGGACTGTGTATGTGAGAGCAATCCGGCAGCTCCTTGGGAGCTCCATTTGAAGGGCATCCAAATTTTTCCCCCATCTTGCCCTTCCCAGCTGCAGTTCATGCATTCATTGAGGGTCCCTGATCCTGGGATTTGAAATTCTTCAAGGTATGCTTTACATAGGGCTTTACAGGCTTACGCGTGCATTTCTTGGCCGTGTCTAGTTCAGGCCCTTGAGGTCACACCTTTGTTCACCTCAGGGTTGAGACCAAGCTGGCTTTTGGCAGCCCAACCTCTGCAGCCCAAGCAGTAACCCAGCGTGTGTGCTTGGACACCTGAGGTTATTACACCTTGAAGCACGAACAGCCTCTCCAGAAAACCTTTCTCCGCACCCCCCCCCCCCCCCCAATTTTTTCCAAGGAGAGGTCTGTTGAGCTTCAGAACTGCATTGGGTCTTCCCTGCCTACCTCTGGTCACCCAAAGGGCTGCTCCTTCCATGTCGATGGTGAGGATGTGGGATGGAGGAGCTGATTCTGCACCTCGGAAACACACCAGGCTCTCTGGGGAACACTGCTTGTGCAAGGGGATCGCCTGGTTTTGTAAAAATAAGGCTTTCAGGGCTGCTTCTTTTCCCCCTGCAGAGCCTGAAAAGAAAATTATAGGCCGTTGCCTGGTGCGCTGGTCTCGGGGCGTCAGAGCTTTGTTCCTTGCAGGAGTCTGTAGCCACAGGCTGTGCACCGCATGCCAATCTTCCCGGCTGCCTTCCTAGAAGGAAATGCAAACTATCCAGTAATGATGGAGTCTCGGAGCGCAGCCAAGGTGCTCGCGTGTTCTCGAAGGATTCAATCCGAGCGGAGAGCCTAGGTATGCCTGCCGCTCTGCTCCCTGCCTGACCTCTGCCTGCTTGAGTGGGTCACGTTTCTGCTCTCGTAGCCGGCCGCAAAGGGCAGCGGGCTCACGGCGAGAGCGTCTCACGTGTCTGACACCTCCGCGCTCAGCATCTGAAGCGGCAGCTGGAGTGAGGAGGTCGGGGTGGGTTTCAGTGCTGCCATGTCCCCTCCCCAAGTGTGTTCCTGCTTCTTGGGGACAAAGTCAGCACCGTGACAGTCCAGCACGGAGCAAGGCTGCAGAGCTGTCATTGCGCCAGCAAATGTGACTGGCAGCTGCTTGGCCTTGCCTGGTGGGGTGGCTGCTTGGGGGCAGCCAGGACCTGCAGCTGGAGACCTTAGATCCAACAGCCAAGCCTCTGATGCAGTGAGGAGCGTCTGGTGGTGGCCACCTTGTTACTCTCTTTTCCTCCTCTCTTCCAAGAGCATCAGCCCAGGGCTTGTGTTGGTTTGCTGCAGGGCCAGCCTGACTCGGGGCAATGCAAACTGAGAAAATGGCTCAGGGCCACCAGCCATGGTGGGATGTGCTGGGGGTAGGTGCAGCTTTGCCGTTGGGATCCATGCTCTACCACCAGGAACCATGGGAAAAATATGTCCTTCTGAGGTGCAAATAAGGAACAGAGAGCGATTGCTTTGGTGTGGTACGCAATTGCAGAGAGGGCCAGGAGGTATCGGAGAGGGCAAGGCTGAGAAAAAGAGCTGAAATGGGAATTGTAGACGGAGAGGGAGATTTTGAGGGCAAAAGCAGTACAAAGGAGGAACTCAGAAGCACCAGTGAGTCCTGACGGGAGCTCTGGGCTTCCTGCTCTCGCAGCATGGATCCAACTTCCATCAGCAGTGAGCACACAGGGCCCAAGTCAACCAGCAGACTTGGGAGGTGGCATTCATCTCCCCTTGTGTTTTGGTTCGTGGTTGTAGGGAATCATTTGAATTTATTTTGAGAGAAAGACAGGATCAGTGTGGGGTGTCCAGGAGGAAAGCCACTGTCTCAGATACATCCTTTGAGCCTGATTGGGATGTCTGGGCTTTGGAGGCAAATGTTGGATTCTTCCTGAGGGCAAAAGCAGTCTGTTTCCAAGGAAGGAGAGGAGGCTGGTGGAGACCACTGCAGGGACAGAGACAGTGGTCATTAAAATCTTTAATTAGAAGCTTAAAGAAAGGAAAAGCAGCTCTGAAGAGTTCTGTAGGCCCAGAAGATTTGGGGCTTAGAGATCTGTAGGCCCAGAAGATTTGGGCCTTAGAGATATCCTTCATGCGTCGTTGGTGAAGTCTCCCCTTCCGTGGGTGAGGAGCAGGAGATTTTGGCAGTCCTGGTGTTTGCGGCTCGGTAACTCAGCCTGCTTGAGCATGCTTGGGCATGGCAGGGAGAGCTGCTGCCCTCAGCCCAGGAGATGTGGTTGGGACGGTCTGTCTGCCCCATGGAAATGTTAATGGGTGATACAGTGTCTGTGGTGCTCAGCTGATGCCGTCAAAAGTCTTGGGATGGTCTTCTCGGCCAGAAGGTGGAAAAGCCACAAAACTTCCATTGTCTCACAGTGCAGAGGCAGCTCTCTCCAAGGACAAGCCAGCAGATGGTCAGTGTGAATCACCAAGGGGCCTCTGTGGTCCTGCAGGGTCTCAAGAGCTTCCTTGGAGGAGACGACCTTCAGAAAACTCTTAGTGGGAATGGTTCCTCAGGCTTTGGCATGGGAAAACCGTATCTGCTCATGCAAAAGCTTGTGGCTTCTCATCTTCTCACCTTTGTCCCATATGTATTCTTGCCCACCTTGAGCCCATCCTTCAACTCCTGGGCTAATACTGTCCTTCACCCATTGGCCCATCTTGCTTCTTGTGCACAGCAAGTCATCTGCCAGGTCGGCCATGTGGGAAGTCCCTGCTTGCTTGTCTTGTCGCACTGAGCCAGGGCTAATGTTTTGAGGAGTCCTCAGGCAGCCTTTAACTTTGAGGTCATCCCATGACAGCTTCTGGAGGGTAACACCAGTAAATCTATTTGAAATTCTGCCTTCCCCCTGGGGAGGAGGAGAAGGTCAGATCTCCAGGGGATTCGTGTTCCTGGTTGCTGAGCTGATGTAAATTTAAGGGAAAATAACACACCTGGGTGCTGAAAAGAAAGGCTCTGCCGGTGGCTCTTCCCCCTTTTCTTCCACAGCTGATGGGGTTGCTGGGTGACCCCAGAGCATGGGTGAAGTGCTTGACAATGGGTTTCCAAAGATAACCAGACCTGACGCTGGTACCAGCTGAACCAGAGAGCTCCCAGCCATTGCGCTGGGAGCTGGTCTGGTTTCGCTTGCTCCACCGCTGTCAGATGGGCGTGAATCTTCAGGCTCCGTCCAACCTGCCTCCCCTTGAAAATGAACCGGGAGCCTTGGCGGAGCTTGACTCCTCACTTTGCTGCTATTTTTAATCCCTCGTTAGAGTTCATTTCCTTTCTGGTGCCTGGTTATTTTCTCTCCGAGGTTTTCTGCTGTTTGTTTATTTGTCCGTGTCCTCCCCCCACCTCCCTGGCCCTGAGCTGTTCCTTCAACGTCTGTTTTCTCTCTGGACGCTGCAGAGGCAGCCCGGAGGCGTTCAGCCATGCCACCACGTGCAGTCATGAGATGGCCCTTGTGAACTGCTGCCACGACGGCCAGACCTGCTCCGGGTGGCTGTGGCTCGGCTGGCTGGCAGAGCCCTCCTCAGCACTGCCGACCCCAGGGCCAGCACAGCCAGACCCAGAGCCACCAGTGGGTACTGGGCACAGTTGGCCAAGATGACCATGAGGGAGATGGAGATGCCAGGGTGGCCACCTGCATCCCTGGGTTGCTTTTGCCATCAGTTTGTCATCTGCAGACACTGGTTAAGAATAATAATTATCCCTTTTTCTTTGTGTTACCACTCCTGCTTCAGGTGAGATGCTCTGTGAGCGCTTCCCACGCTGCCTGGCTGATGCATCTCCCCTTCTTGGGTTCAGGAGCTTGGGTTTGGGGTGCGCCAATGCCTTGGCATGACCCCCGAGGTTCCACCACCTCTTGACTCTGGGAAACCTGCTGCTTTCCAGTCCAGGAACGCCTTTTGTTTTGTTCATGTTGGACAGCTAATTTCTGAGCAAGGTGTTGAATTTTCCATGTTCGGCATCACTCTGTTTTCTAATTCGCAGATTTTTCCAGTCTTATTTCTCAGTCTTTGTATCCGCCTGGCGAAGTCTCGGTTGGCTGTCAAACGGTTAAATCCTGATCCCTGCTTCTCATTTAATGGATTGCATTTTTATCTCTGTTTCTACAGCCAGTATAAATGGGCTGGTGAAACCCTCTTTCCACTCAAGACGTGTGGTGGTGTTTCCTTAAATCTGAATCCGGCAGGACCAAGATCCAGCACATCTGAAACAGAGCTCTTTGGAGCA